AGGAACTACCATCATCCATACCAGTAATTGAGCGTACTGACAGCTTAATTCCAAATCCAATCAATACTTCTGCTTCTGAAAAAGGACTTTCATTAGAAATATCCGCAAATGGCCAGGGACACCAGTCAAGCCAGCGTCCATCGTCAAGATGAATTTTAAAGAGAACACGTCTCTTATCTGGTAGCAATGGCTCTTCAGGAATGAAACTAAGTGCTGCGTCGGGACTAAACGATGCCGAAATAAATGTATTAACAAAAAAGGGTTGCCAAAAGATTTTTGAAGATTTGTTCAACCTATTTAATTCATTTTCACTAAGATATTGACCACGATAGACAACAGAAATTTTTTTTTTTGGGGTTTAGTAAAGACGATAATATATACCCATCAGATCCGTTGTCGTTATTAAATCTCTTATGTAATATGTCATTAAGATCAGCAATAAACATTCGACATTTGAACATTAAATCTATCTGTCGTGTTCTTAATGCTCTATTAACAATTGTATGGAAACAATTACCTTGAGTGTAGTATCGAATAACTTTATCGGCTGTATAATTATCTTCAAATTCTTTTACTTTCTCTAACATAGTTGAATTTTTTCGATAATATGCACGACAAACATCGATAAATTCTTCTCGTGCTTCTTTAGTAGTTGAAAGATTTGCAAGAATTGAATTGATTAAATGATAAAAATCATACGATTGATCATATTCCTGCCAAAAACTTTGTTCGTCAAATGCCCATCGATCACAATATGCTCTTATATCAGTACTTAATGTTTTAATTAATTCATCAGTGCGATTGAAAACTCCTCGAATATTGGTTTGTGTTTTAGATAAAAATGTTTCATGAAAAGTTTTTTCATAACAAAAAATATAAATGCATGTAATTCGAGAAGAAGACATTCGATATAGATATTTTTGTGCAAATGTACCTGAGAGAATGTAAAATATTGTTGAATCATCTTTTAACGAATGAATCTCTGATAAAGATTTTTCAATATCATAAAATTGTTCAATCGAATTCGTAATAAATTCTAATGCTTTGAGTGTTTTTTGACAATCTGCTGATTTGTCTATTTGTTCATCGAGCCAAAAAACTCTATAATCTTCAAAATTATTTGAAGTTTTTACCGATA